GCCCTGCCTGGGCTCCATCCATTCGCCTGCCCTCTCTGGGAGGCCGCCCCCTGCTTCGATGACACGGGCATGCAGTGGCTGCCCGTGGGGTGTTCCAGCCCAGCCTCGCACAAACTCAGGGTCCACAGTCCACCTGACGTCTACAGGCCCAGCCTCGGCAGTCCCCACCCCACGTGGTCTTCAAATATGCCCCAAGGCCTTCGCACTGGCCGTGCGCTCCGCCCCGCGAGCCTCTCCCCATCCTCGCCACCATCCAATCCGAGCTTGGATGTCTCTTCCCCAGGGACGCCCCCGCCGGTACCCCCTCCGCCTCCTGCCCTAGTATCCTCGCCCCCAGCCCCAGGGCTCCGCCGACTCGCAGACCGGGCGGCTGGACTCACCTCCTCCTGCCAAGGCCTCGGGCCCCCAGGGTCCCGGAGAGGGCGCGAGGGGCTGCGGCGAGTCCGGTGGCTGCAGGACCCGCGTCCCCCTCGACTCGGGGGGCGGCGCCCGACAGCTGGGCGGGCTCTGCGGGGTGCCCGGGCGGGGGACCCAGGAATCCGGGGAGGGGCCCGGCGCCGCGTGGGATGGCGAGTCCAGGCCGGAGTCTTCCACGTTTTCCGGCGACGAGGAGGAGAAAGGGGAAGGGCTGGAGGCGAAGCCCAGGCTGCTGGAGCCTTGGGGAGGGAAGGGGCGGTCAGCTCCGGGCCACGCCCACGTGGGGTCCCCACCATTCCGCTGCAGGCCACGCCCACGTGGTGGAACTGCTGGGCCCCATTCAAAGTCCTTGTTCTCCCCAGGCCACGCCACTGGTTACTTGTGTCTAATGCCCCACCCACTCTGGGAAAGGCTCCACCCACTCTGGCCCCGCCCACCCACTCAGGTTTCCCCCACACACACTGCCTCCTGTCCTCCTTCCAGCCTAGCCTACCCTCTGCTGCACCAGAGCTGCCTAACCTTGCAATGGCCCCACCCATCCTCCCTTAGGCCACGCCCATGCCCCCCAACCCCTATCCCCCTCACCTGTAAAATCTTCATGGTCAAAGGCCGACTCCAGGGGGGGCCCAAAGAGGTTCTTGGCCACCTGCTCATCCGATTGCAGCTTCTCCATACAGCTAGGGACGGTGAGGCCAAGAGGGGAAGGTTCTACCTCAGGGCCTTTGCACGTGCTCTTTCCAGTCTTGAATTCCATTTCCCCAGCTCTCCTCAGGGCCACCTCCTGCTCCTCTTCGGGGCTTGGCACCAAGTCACCCCCTCAGGGAGGTCCCTCACCAGCACCCCAACTGAAGTCACTCCTCCTGTCTCTGTCACACTGCCTGCTTTAGTTTCTTCATAGCACTTACAAGTATTGAATAGGCTCTTGTTGGCTATTCTTAAAATCAGAGTCACTAATATGTGACTCCAAGAAGGCAGACCTCTCTCGGAACCCAGGTCCCGGACCCCTGACCAGCACAAGTGCACAGCAGGAGCCCAATACATGTTTATCAAGTGAATAAGTGATCCCCATAAAAGCAGCATGGCCTCAAGTTCCAGGCAGGGCGAGAGAACACAGGGAAGGGACGCGGGGAGGCAGCAGGCAGGGGAGGGAAGAGGTGGGGACAGCTCCCACCTGGTCACTCATATGCAACCCACCTGCTGGCTCTAGGGGCAGACTGAGGCCTCTGTGGTTTCCCAGCAGCGTCTCCTACGAGAGATGTACCTCTTTGAGCCTTCCTGCCACTCTGCCCGCAATGTTCCCCACTCCACAGCTCAGAGCTGTCCAGCCAGCCCAAGGTGACCCACAAATCAGGCAGAGAGGCATTCAAAACTGAGCCAACCTGTTTCCAGGTGTTGGCTCTTTTCCTGGCCTCAGCTACCCCTTTCAGCTCTCATTTAATTCTCATAATGACCCCATTTTACAGAGGAAGAGACTGAGGGTCAGAGTGATTAAGCAGCCTACCTTTCCTCAAGGCTACTCACGTGAAGAATGGCGTTTCATGGTGCCCTGTGGACAAAAGGGGCAACGTCAGGCGTGGATAGGTACATCCAGCCAGCCCCACCAGCGCTACCCAGAGCGCCTCTCCCACACCTCACCCCTGGGCCAGGAGGAAGGATGAGGCTGCCGGCTGTGGCCCTGAGCTGTGCCGCCGCTGCCTCAGGGCTGCAGGCTGGAGCCCAGGCCGGGGCGGGCTTGATGTGCACGTGGAACTTGCGGGGCTCCTCGTCATCGAAGTCCGAGTCACTGGATGAGAAGCGGGAGGGCTCGGCTGTGCGTAGTCCGCAGTCAAGGCTCCAAGCAGATCCCAACATGGGCTTCCCTCCAGTCAGCCCTCAA